CTGAAAAGTCCGGCGATGCTTGAATTTGCCGCCACGTACGTTCACCATCGCTGGACCGGATGACTGGTAGAAAAATTCAGTGATGTTTTATGGAGTACATGTCAGTGCATTTGCACTCTTCGTCATCTTTTGAATGCATCTGCAGTTAAAAAACGAATGTGCATGTTGTAAAATCTGAAGAATTCAATACTTGAGTGTCCATTTTTATCGTTTGACATTACCTAGCAAGCACAGATGCTCTGTTTTACGACAAGGTGTTGTACGGCTTCATTTTATTCAAAGTTTATATGAATCATTTCTTACACTGCACGATATTAAGAGATTTCTCTTTGCACATATTCTACCGTTTTTCTATGTATTCATCGGGAATCATCTTCCCAGCACCGCTGACGTGCGACTTGACTTGAAGGCGCTAAGGCGATCACTGAAACACGTCTCTAGAGTAAGCTACTTTTCACATGATCTACTGAGACAAGTGGTCGATTTAGCACAAATTCTTGGTGGGAAAATAACACCCTTCCATTGCAACAGAGGTTGTCACAATGTCTGGCTCTAATGTCATAATCGACATGTAGGTATATCACTTTTCTGCCACAATGGAGCTGTATCAACGTTCTATCGTCTCATCCTAATCCTGCATTCTATGAATTCCTATTGAAGTTAGACAGACAGCAGTGGATGAATTTTCTTACTGTAATTTAGTCTTAGTAGTAGCGCTAACGGGTAAATAATTAATAAAAACTAAGTTTTGGCAATTTAGTTGTCTTCTGTTTTTCTCGCTCAACTTTGCTCTGTGCTTCTGTGCTTTGTTCTTAATTTATTTTTGTTCTCTCTTAGCATGTAGCGTTTAATTCAGTTTTGTGATATGTACACAAAATTAATGTTTTTCATTTTTTTGCTCAAAAACTAAATTCTTTGGAGATCCGTTTCAAGTGGTAAATTTTCATTCATTCAGAAATTATGGGCACTGTGATCACATTCTCTGGTGATGATCATCTCGTGTCATTTTGTCCGACGACTTCGTCTGTGGCATTTTGAGTGGTTGTTCGCTGTTAAGGGGTTCGACCCTTGTCATATTTGGCATATTTCTTCCCATCTTTTATCATGTCCAACGGATTCAGAGTAGTGAATTTTTAAACTTTCTGAGGTGTTTTTTACGTGCAGGTATCGTTGCAAGTGGCAGTAAAACAACACTCTCAACCTAATGGGATGGACTCGTACGATTGTTCTGGGTGCTTGTCCAGCAACAGATAATCTCATGCATAATACGTCAAAAAATCAGGAAATCTAAAAGAACATTAATAAATAATATTTCGTTTTTGAGAATAGAACAATGGATAGATGTTTGAACAGTTCATAATTCAGGATATCAGATACAACAGATGGTAAAACAGTCTATTACCGACGCGTTTCGTCACATAGCGTAGTATTACCAGGGCTAGGTTACTGATACTGTAGTTTACGTAGCGAAAATCGGCGGCAATAAAGTGTTTTACCATCTGTTGGATTTGGAGTCTTGAATCAGCGTAATTGCGTTTGTCCGCGTTGTTGCGTCAAAATAATTCTTTTTAAAATGTTTTTTTATTCCCTTGTTATCATATAAGTATCCCAGTGTTGGAAGGTAGCACAAGGCTAGATAATCCAGTAACACCTATCTGCCAAGGTTTTTTAAGGTTTTCCCACTGGCTGCATCGAAATGAAAGTGCAGCGCAGCATCACACAAGATCTCTGAAATCAGCGTGTAAAAAAATCTTTCACGTCTAAATAAGTACTGCAGATCAGCCTCCAACAATAACAAAATTTCATATCGTTTGTTGTTCTTACTCATACGCATCGTGTATATTCTAAAATGAACAATTTGTACAGCACTTTTAGGATTCGTGGATGCTAACAATCGAAACGTCCCAAAATTGTAGTGCTATTTTCTTCGCATTAATTAATTTTTTGTGAATTTTGTTACGTCCTTAAATCGTACGTGGAAATATGTTTTTGTCATAATTATTGTGTTTTAATCTGCGGCAGAAATAACAGACGCGCCGTGGTACTAACTTGTTCCGGTATTCTCGATTCGGTTCATTGCCCTGCTCTTCGTTTCTTGTGTATTTGGTTGTGTGTAGTTCAACGATATGCCGTAATACATTTACTGTTCTTTGACAATTACTGTTTACGTTATAAAAGTATTACATGCACGAGTACTTGGTTTGCTCTGTAGTCATATTTATCATCTGAATAGATTTGTTGCTGCGAGCAAAAAATTTTTCAACCATAACCACAATATGTATGTTTATTGGGAATGTTAAGGTGAATGAAAAAGTATCAACGTAAAAAGTAAAAGTATTAAGTATTAAAAATATAGCAGAACTATTGTGTGGCTCTCAGCCCTGAGTAAAGAGAATGAGCCTTCGTCGTACAAGTTTGCTTTTTATTGCCGAACAGAGCGTCGTGAATTGCCTGCTCCGAACAGATGCTGTGAATGAGCTTATGTTTTTTACACAACTTTTGTGACATGCCCATAGTTAAAACGTTTATGTGAGCATGGAAAATTTGACATATGGCATATTTCTACAGATACCGTTTGAAGAATACGTAATGAAGGTGCTTAATTACAATACCTGTGCAAATAAACCTCCGTATGCTTCTTGAAATATGATGACATCCTATAACCCGAAATATACTAGTAGAGCTATTTGTCTTCGTTGCATAGAAACTACTAAATATGACATATCTCGAAGTGCGTGTAGCCTTGCTTACTTGTACTTACTTATTCAGTAGTTGTATTTTACTGGTAGAAGTATTCAGTAGGCCCATGTTTCATACTTGTGTAGATGCGACAGTAAATATGAATTATTCACTGCTGCCAAGCGTCCTATCGAGAATGTGCAGCTGCTGTGTAGTAATATCGAATCTACGGCATATCTGTAGTTTTCTTTAACAGACATACGTGGCGTGCTTTTAAGTATTATGTACCATTTGTTTCTGTATTCTAAATCTCGACATGGTATGTGTGGTGTATTTCGTATTACTGTGTTGGGTGCTTCTCAAAGTAGAGACTATCTGTAGAACTTTCGATTACTGCCGCCAGTTATTACAAACACACCCACATATCATATGTATAATTATGTTTATCTAAATACATAATGCACAGCTAATATGTTGGCCGCTGTATTTAGTAGAGTAGTAGAAGTACTTTGTGTCACGGCAAAATATACCGTACAAGTTTTGTTTTCCGGGGTGTATACGCGTATGTAACACTGTTGTACATAATTTCAATGTAAATGTGTGCCGTTTATTGTTTCTGAAACTAACGTAAACAACTTTTACTTTCTTTATGCAAGTTCTATGTATTACTGCCAAATATTCACATATGCACTACAAAGACGTGTAGTGTATCTCACAGTACTGCCTAATATATATCATAGGCATATTGTGTATATTTAGCGGTTGAATCATTATTTTTACAAATGGTTTGCAGCAGTGTCAGATGTACCATGCAATATATTTGACTAGAATACACAGCACTTCAATCAATATAGTACATGTCTTCTAACTGTAATGTATAATTTGTGGTTTTATCTGTACAAAGTTTGTTTGGCTGACAGTATGCCACATAAAGCGAATGTGCTCAATAACCGAAAATTCGCCATTATATTCATTGGTATGTTTATATGTATATCTCCCTTATAGCTGTTTGCACCTCACATTTAGGCATTGTCAGGTATATTGCATTTTTAGCAGTTGAGTGCAATATAGGTATTCAGGTTCCATATGATATTGGTAGTTATAGTTTGATATAGTTATATTATTTGTTTAACAGGTATGCGTAAATACGGTTGTTTTATGTGCTGTAACAAAACGTGCAGAATTAGCAGCGAATTTGCGCCATGCATTATATGGACATGGGGTCTAGCTTTGTACCGATCGAATTACTATTAGTTTAAGTACGGATTATTGTTTTATTAGCTTATGTATATGTATGCTGTGCGTGTGTTTATTTATGTACATAAGGAAGTGACAGTTAGTATAGATATGTACTTGCATCTCTGTTGGTCTAGCATTGTACTATATTTTTATATATTGGAACAACTAATGACGCATCCATGACCAGATTTAGCCGATGATGCATGTGGTCATGATGACCCAAGACAGTTTAAGTATAGGGACATGTAGGCACAGTGTATCGCGTTTTCACATTCGTGCTTTCGGTAACTAGATGTAGGGATATGTATAAACTAGTATAACTCATGCACTTTATTTATCGTTATGATATTCTTTTGTTGGTGTTTGTTTCATGTTTTGGTAGAGATGAGGGGTATAATATGTATATATAATGTACGTATCAGTATACTACCACCTTCCTGCTCTCTGTATATAGTTGCATGAATATCAATCCACGCTTTGTGGGACCACTGTCAGCCCAAATAGCCAGTGAATAAAGCAGTTAAACAAACGAAACCCTCGTGTGAATGTTGAATTAGTTACTTCTCTGTACTTTTTCTCATTCTTCTTGTTTGTTTTTAGTACGGTTATCTACAGACCTCGAACTCGTGAAAAGCAGATATCTATTCAAGCAGTAAATTTTATTTTACTTGATATATGTTCTAAATGCACATGAACAGTAAGTACGTAATGTGTTATGCATGTATACTCATATTCAACGATAGCGCTTGCTATATTACTATTATAAGTATGTTCACTCTATGCGAAAGAGCATAACTGTAGCATCATATGAAATTCGTATGCACTTGTTTAGCCATATACAAGGAGTAGTATGGTTGTGTACCATCGATATATATTTATTTATTTATTTGAGAATAATCTACTTCTGTGGAGTGTGTATCAATACTTATTCGTATGATAGTAGTACTGCTGAAAGTTTAGAAAGCGAGTTAGTGTAAAAACTTATTTTTTGAATGTCATAGATAACGGCGAGACTTTTTGAGTGCTCTGTTTCGGTCAAGTTTTTGAGGTTTGCACTTAATTTATCAGTGATCTGTTTAGAGATGAATCATCCACCGCCGAAGCTGCTCACTGGCTGTGATAGGTTTTCATTCAGCGGCGTTGATTGTGGCCCGGTGTGCCGAAGTGGCATTAGCTACCCGGTAAGCACATCGTTGCTACGCCCTCCGGTCCTGAATTCCGAGGATTCGCCTTCACAACTGTCCTCGACGTTGCCTCCATTTGACTCCGTGGCATACGAGAACGCCGCTGCTGTGCGCAATATCTTTGGCGTCAACGACCAGCATATGTACGTCGGTACGCCACCATGCAACGTTACCGGTCCGCCGCCACCGGTTGGTTTTCTGCCCAGGGTATCGTACAATAGTTTCCTGTTGAACTCGTCTCCTACTGCATCTGACTGCTATTCGGGTCTGTATCCTGGAAGTGGTCAGTCTGGGTCGCTGTCGAGTACGTTCTTGTCGCCGGTGATTGAGCAACAGCAGAAGAGCGTTGCGGCCCACGGTGCCGCCGGTGGCTTGATGTACCACTTTCCTGGGTCGCAGCGTGCCACCCCCTCATCAGAGCCGTGCCATGACTCCCAACATGCTGTGGTCGATAGTCACCTAAAAGCTTTCGGAGACACAAATTTTTTCAGTGAACGGGTTGTCCCTAACGGAAACTATACTTTCGCCACTGATGCGGTTTCGACCTCTCTCACTTCTTGGCCGGAGCAACACGCGGGAACCGGCGGCGGCCAAGGCTGCAACGGTTCCGGTATGGACATCTTGGCGCAGTACTACTCACACCACGTGCATGGCGATGACCGAGCTTCGGTCGTATGCCCGATCCTTTCATCTGGTCAGTCGTCTCTAAACCCAGATTTGGCGGCGGCGATGAGCGGCGTGGTCGATTATTCGAAGTTTTTCCCGAAGGTCATTAACCCGTCGGTCAGTGACCATCAGCAACAACAGCAACAACACTTTCTCTCTCCGGAAACATCGACGTACTTCAGTAAAGTCGCCGCCGCCGTCAATCCGTACTTAGGCAGAGCTACCGGGGCATTTCATCGTAATTCGCATGCCGGTGGCACGTTTCCCAACTACGTTGTGGATTATGACCGCCAACAGCAGCAACAGCTACTGAAGCAGCATCGACCGTCATCCGGTGGGGTGATCGTCAAATCTGAGGTTTCGTTGATGGCGGCTGCTGCTTCGCAGTTGCCAAATATGAACGATGTAGCCAATGTACCGAAAACGTCTGAGTTCGACAC